AATTCAAAATTTTACAATAATCTCTCAAAACCAAATAAAGATTCCAGTACTCTAAAAAATATCTTCCTTTTACGTGTTATGATGTTTAATAAAAGTGGTGTGAAATCAAAAAATAAAATTATATATCTAAAAACTACATTATAAGATCTATAAAACAAGTAATGATATAATTATATTATTTTATCAAATACATAATTAAAATAGATAAGCAAAGTAAATAAAATTTGATCTTGTTAATACTCTTGATAGTGAATGAGAAGATAATTTTTGGACAGAGGGATATTTTTTATTAAAATATAAAAAACTACTTAAGATGCCAATTAAGCTCAATTAATTAATCTTTAATATTACTAAAAAAATTATTTTTACATATTACTATATTAGTTTTTAATATGTAATTTTTATTTTTTAATTTCACACCNACATAATTAAAATAGATAAGCAAAGTAAATAAAATTTGATCTTGTTAATACTCTTGATAGTGAATGAGAAGATAATTTTTGGACAGAGGGATATTTTTTATTAAAATATAAAAAACTACTTAAGATGCCAATTAAGCTCAATTAATTAATCTTTAATATTACTAAAAAAATTATTTTTACATATTACTATATTAGTTTTTAATATGTAATTTTTATTTTTTAATTTCACAGCATTTTTCATATAAAATACTTTAAAAATAATTTCAGCCAAATATAGTAACGTGCAACGAGAATATACTTTTAGGAAAATTGGAGTCTTTATTTGATTTTGGGAGAATTATTGTAAAATTTTGAATTTCTATGAGTATTTATATAATTTTTTCCTCTTATTAAAACAAAAAACAACAACTAAGATGTCAACTAAGCATAATTACTTACATGTAAGTATAAGAAAAGCTGATTAGAGATAGTGGGAGTAGTAATGTAAACATATAGTTTAATTGGGAGCACCAGAGTCTTTTATTAAATTTGGGAGTATTATTGTGAAATTTCAAATTTCTAGGAGAATTTATATCAATTTTTCCTTAATTTTTCTAACCAACAAAGCCTAATTTGAGATGGTGAGATTAGTAAAAATTTTAACAAATTGGTACCAATTTTTAGTTTTGTGTTATGGTCGAGTATTAGAAAGTCATTAGTGGCTAAATGACCTAAATCTAATTGTTTTGGAAAACGTCCATACACAATGATTGGGCCCCGATCCCAATGCGGTGGGCCTATCCTTCCTTCGTCTGAGTCATCAAAAGATTCCTACAAGGCAATAGGGGACACGTGTCAACGAATTCTACACAAAGAGTGTCAATGTCGGTCTTACTCACGGGCCCCACGCGTCACTGTTCACACGGGCCCTGGGATTTATTTACGGAATAATCAATATTTTTTGTTGTTTTTAATTTATTTATTTTCGCTCTGTACAGTGATGGGAAAAGGCCCCACGTTTCTAGCTGTTGCCTGTACACGACAAAGGCACTTGAAGGCCAAGATATAGATGCACACTTTCACTATCAACCCCCCCCCCCCACACCACTTCTATTGTTTTTCCCATCCACGCCCATTGAAACATTTTAGAACCCATTTCTTGTCAATTCAATTGTTTTCATTGATGGAGAATCATGGGGTATATTGCATACTTTCCCTTTCAATACAACTTTTTTCATGATAAATTAAAATAGTCCCCCGTCCATAAATAATCTTCCCGTTACGCGTTATGATGTTTGACCAAAATTATTTTTAAATAATTTTATATGAAAAATGGTTAAAAATAAAAATTACATATTAAAAAACTATATCAAAAGATCTACAAAATTAGAGGTGACATGACTATATTATTTTATCAAATGGTGACGAAAATAGGCCAACAAAGTGAATAAAGTTTGACCTTGTGAATAGTGAACGAAAAGTTTATTTGTGGACGGAGGGAGTATTTGATTGAATTTTTTAAATTAAGTTTATTCCAAAAAATTGATAGTCTCTCATATAAAAGTTTTCATGTTATTACGCATATATATATATATATATATATATATATATATATATATATATATATATATATATATATATATATAAATATAAAATACAAAACAAAGACACATAAAACAAATACATGAGAAAAGTTCATATATAATAGTATATAACACTAAACTTTAATCGGGCACTTGAATCCGTGCATCGCACGGAGCAATGCTAGTGTGTGTGTGTGTGTGTGTGCATGCAATTGACACTCAGATTTTAGTATGTCTGCTCGCTATCATCAGCTCTACCGTTCATAAATATGCTCAGGACTTCCCTACTCGACCGCCTTGTGGATGCATTAGCAACAAGGTATAATTCCATCTCTACCGCCCATAAAGATCAACTCCGATCCGTGACAAGCTGCATACTCTACAGAAAGATACCAATCTATGACTCAATACCTTGATGAAGTTGTCACCATCCTTGCCGACCTTGATGCCTTGCCTTAACATGTCGTCCCTAAACGTGAAGTTGTCAATACTGTTATTCGTGGTCTCCCTGCGAGTATTCTTCTTTCAAACAAAATATTTGCTTACATAATGGAGACATCACTCTCAATCAGCTTTCTGAATGGCTCTCTTCGGAGGAAATTAATCTTGAGATGAAACAAAAACTAAGCCTGGACGATTCTTCCTCCGAAGGACACATACTGCTTTGGTCTCTACAGGTGGTCAAGGTCGTCGTCAAAGAGCAGACCCTAGTCGACCATCATCTAGCCACGACTATAAAAACTCGTGTGGCTGTTGAAGTAGCGATCGACCATAGTCTAGTTGCGGTCCACCTCGTCCTCTTCCTATATTTATACTCCCTCCGTTCTCAAAAAGAGTTCCTACTTTGAAAAAGTGGAAAATAAGGAAGTGTTAAATTGTAGTTGACTTCTAATTTTGCCCTTGATGTGATGGGTAAAAGTAAGATGTGATGGGTAGATTATTAGAGAAAAAGTGTGATGTAATAGGTAGGGTATGAAAAAATAAGGGTAAAAGTGGTTTTTTAATAGAAAGTGGAAGTGTTTTGTTGAAAGTAAAAAAAATGAAAGAGGAAGTGTTTTTGAAAATGGAGGGAGAGTATTAGATTTGTGACAAATGAGGATATTCTGACATAGCATGTTGGTACCATTTTGATGATTCTTATTCTGAGAACTCTTCTATTAGTGGCCCTCGTGCTATGCATGCATCTACGAGCAACCAATCTAAAGATTGGTATGTGAACACCTGTGCCAACATTCATGTTACACATGATTATTCACAGCCCCAACCTCCTCAAACATACACTTGTACTAATACTATTATTATAGGTAATGGTCATCACACCCTATTAATCATACACAAATACTCGGGCTCGGTTCATACACCACATGGTAAATACTATCTCTATTTCCTTCACCACGTCCCCTTCCTTACATCGAATTTACTATCCATCCACTCTTTTACAAAAGATAATAATTGTACCCTTATTTTTAATACCAATAAATTTCATATAATGGACAATACCACCAACCAAGTGCAATATAAGGGCCTCTCTTATCATGGACTATACATCATCACTTCCAAGTCTCCATATATTATGTGTCAAGCGATCCAAGCGTCTACCTAGAATCACAGGCTCGGTCATTCGTCTCCTGCTATCGCCAAATCTATCTTGTAATCCTTAGGTTTTAATTTTCCAAACATTTACATTGTGAGTCATGTTCTATCTCTAAGTTTTGTCATTTAGCTTTTGAATAAGCGAAACACAAGGCTAATGCACCATTTAGTTTAATACATTCTGATGTTTGGGGTCCAACCTCTGTTACATCTGTTTGTGATTTTTGTTACTATATCTCTTAATTTGACGAGTTTAGTAAATTCACATATATGGATTTATTCACTAAAACATAAGCCAGAAGCTTACTCTATTTTTGTTAGCTTTGAAAAAATGATTAAAAATCAATTCAATTCTAACATTTAGATTTTTCGAAGTGACAATGAAAAAAATTTATGAACACACATTTGGTCTTTTTCTATAAAATTTAAGAATCCTCCACCACACCTCTTGTCCTTATACCCCTGAGTAAAATGCAGTGGCAGACTTAAAACATTATCAAACTATTAAAAAGGTCGTTTCCATTCTCTACGACTCTAATCTATCCCTTTTTTCAAGGCATACGCTCTTGTCACTACTAATTACCTTATTAATCGTATGCCCACAAAAAATCTTTTTTTGGAGGTTCTCTACAATCAAACTCTTGAGTATGCCCATCCATATTATTTTGGTTGTCTTGTCTACCCGTGGCTTAGGCCTCACACTCAGCACAAACTGAAACCTCATTCCACAATGTGTCTCTTTATTGGGTATCATCCCACCATTAAAGGATATAAGTGTTATGATTCCACCTCTCAAAAGATATATGTATTTTGTCATTTTAAGTTCGTAGAGAATCAGTTTCCATATTCTAGGCTCTTGTCCACTCTGCAATCTTATAATCTCCCCTTAATATCACCCTTATTTTTATACCCCGTCCAAGCTCACATGCTCAAGTGTCGCCAACACACATTGTACCTAGATGATCGACACATCAACCGTTCCCCAGTTCACAGTTGACCATCACATCACCTTCTCACAAAACCGCTACAGAAGGTTGATACCCACGACCGAACCTCTGATCACAGTCAACCATTCATCACAGCTTCCACTTAACCCCTATTCGTAGTCCAACCCCTGGACCGTCCCTCACATACGGTTGGCTGTCCAACCTCCAATAACCCAATTCCTTATCAAACCACACATTCCCCCCAAAATACCACCACTAACACTCACCCAATGCAATCTTGTTTCAAACCCAAGATATATACAACCACCAATCTTGATAATACCTGTAACACCCCGATTCGCATAACCTAGTTCACGCGGGTTAGCGGACCAAAGCGCTAGCAATTTGGTAAAGTAACAGTCCGAAATCTTATAAAAATAATAGTAACAGTAATTTAAAAACATTCAAAACATAGTCTCCTCAAAACATGATAAAATAATTTTCAGAGTAATTTAATTTAATCGTTGCGGAAGCTAAATAAGATTTAACATATTTACATATATGGGTTCAAGTCCCAAAATACTTTAAATTATTAAAAACAGTTCCCACATCCTTCTGCCAACTTTCCCGCCTCTGCATCTTCCGGATGGATGCCATAACTTATTACCTACGCACAGTCACACAACAAAGACAACTGTGCACTTAGTGAAACCGCTGAGTGGTACCACAACATAGATTTCATAGAATAATTCATAAAACACATTCAAATATATACGGGAATCAATATCCTTTTGAAACCCTTTTATTTAAGAAAAGCCACTTTGTTTATTTTTCTGTGAAACCTTTAATTATAAAATCATGATATTCTTCATTTTATGACAAGGTGTAAGAGCATCTCTTCGTATAATAATACATATCCAAAGTACTTATTAAAACAAGGGTATTATTTCCAAATACACTTTATTGATAGATTGACAAACCATTATTGTTCCATCATTTCATCGAGAGAGTATCTCTAATAGAAACAAATCCATATCTAATAGAAAATCAACATCCTTCATTTAACCAATCACTATACGATAATAGTGACATCCCTTATTCTCAATCATTTATGTTTTATCCTCACTCCATACTGAGTCGTTCTCCGTAGAGGTAGACTCGATAAAACTTCCCTTGTCTGAGTCTGGGTCCGAGCGCCCTTCTCTTTAGGTTCAGAATTTGTTCCGTGGCCTTTACCAGTCTGGGTATAAATACTCTTTTGGTTCCGGACGCACGGGTTGAGTGATCCCTAGTCGCCTGACCAGTCTGGACTTAATGTACGTACATACTCAACTTCTAGTATCGCCCACATCTATACACTCAAATAAATACTATTTATCACTAGAAATAATCTAGATTTAAACTATCCAAAAATACCTTTTTGGTTTTTAATGCCACCTTCATAATCATCACATTTACGGATTGGAGCATATAAAGTTTTACCATAAGGTCTCCAACATAATATCATCCATAATATCCTTTTAATCATTAGACATCATTTAATCATGTTCATGGATTGGATCATATTAGGAACTCAAGTCTAAACCACATAATATAGTACTATAATTCTTCTAGTCCAACTCGTCCAATGATACCGTTTGGTTAATAGCACATCTGGGAAATATGATTTAACATAATCAATTTTGGTATTAGAGTTCTTATAGTCCAAAACATTCGTTTTAAGTATTTTTGAAAGTTAAAATATTGTTATAAGTCAATCAAACCAATACCAAACATTTATCATCAATACAATATCAAAAACGGCTAAAATTTGAGTTGGAACGTCGGGTGATCGATCCCTAAAGGGGTGATCGACCCCCCGAATCAAGAAAAACCGTATTGTAGCAACATTTACTCAAGAGGATCGATCCAGAGGCTTGGATCAATCCCCCGAACCTTAAAAATAGGTTCTGGGGTTCATTTCCATCGTCGGGTGATCGATCCAGCTCTGGGGATCGATCCCCTGACGGCTCCTGTGTGTTTTTGGGTTTGTTTTAAGCTCCGGGATGGCTCCAAAAGTGTATATATTGAATATATATACTCTACTTTGAATCTCTAAGTTGTGTAGGAACATTTTGAGGTCTTTTTGGCACAAGTCCGGGCATTCTCCGACATCGACGATTCATGTATATCAAGTTGAGCGTTTTATCGAGACTATCGGTATGACTAACAGAAAATGACATGTAGGTATATGAAATCATATAATATGAATGATTCTAAGGAATCTAACGTCGGAACGAGTATGGGGTACATACCTTAGAGTTCGTAGGGGAACACAATGATCTTAACACCTCACGTACGTTCAACGAACGGACGTCACTATCTACTTCTAGCTTTCCTTTTCTTGAGGTCTTCTCTTCAAACCTTGATATCGCAGAGGTGTATGGTGTGAGAAGAGCGTTAAAATGAGTATAATAATGATAGGCATGGAACATACTCACTTACCTAGAGTTTTCTTCCCAAAACTCCATTAATGGTGGGAAAAGCTAAAGAAGAAGATGACCAATGTTTGTAGGAACTTTCTAAGTGTTTGGGAGTGGTAAAATGAAGGAGAAAGCATTCCCTTTATGGCTTTATGGAGAAATCAGGGATTGGGGAGATGTGTCCATCTCAACCACTGCACCCAACATTTTCCTTCACAACCATCCAAGAGAGTTGAAAGGTGGAGATGGATGTGTTGTGGTGGTTAGGAACATTTTAGTGTGTGAGATAATGGTGATGGGAAGAAGGTGATCATGGGGAATGATGGGGAATCCTGGGAATAATTTGGGGGATGAATGTGGGATTTGGGATTAAATTCCTGTTCTAGAAGAAAATAGTTTATCTATTTGAATTTCGAGTTATTTTCTAAACCGAGTCTGATTTTGAAACCGATCTCATTTTTGAACTTGTAAAATAAATGGAACTCAAAGATATAATCAAAATATTTTTTCCTAATATTTTTATTTTTGTTCAGACCGGCGGGGCCCACATAGTCGAAATCGGCAATTTACGCAGTTAATTCTTCTAGACTCGTTTTCGTGGCGTTACAATACCCCTATTACTACCAAACCAAGCACCTATCACCAAGCCTCTAATAATAGTTTTTGGTGTCAGGTAATGGATGAAAAATTTATAGCTTTGAACGAATAAAGTAGTTGGGATTTGGAACCATCGCTTAAGAATCACACTCTGATTAGTTATAAGTGGGTGTATCACATTAAACGAACGCAAATGGATCTATTTTAAGGTGTAAGACTCGTCTTATGGCCAAAAGTTATCATCGGGAATATGACTTTGATTATAAGAAGACAATCAGTCCCGTTGTAAAACAAAAAAATGATACACATTATTTTCTCCTTGGCTCTTCACCATGACTAGCCTCTTCATCAGCTTGGTGTTAGTAATTCCTTTCTACATAGCGCTATGGACAAAGAAATTTTTATGGAGCAACCACCGGGTTACATAAACCTGCAGCTACCGAACTATGTTAGCAAGTTGCATAAATCCTTATAAGCCCTCAAAGAGGCCCCACGTGCATGGTACACATGTATGTATTCTTTTCTGCAGGGTCTTGGTTTATATTGTTTCTCATAATACTAGTCTGTTTACTCTCCGTTATCCTCGAGGAACAATCATCATTCTGGTATATGTTGATGATATTGTTATTACGAGAAGCTCTCCCACTTTGATTTCTGAAATTACTCTAGATATGCATCGAGACTTTTGGTTCAAAGTACTTCCCTTTGCATTTTTTCCTTGGCATTGAGGTGAAGCGCACCAAGAGTTCTATTCTCCTCCATCAAACTAAGTACACGATTGATCATCTCCAACAGACAGGAATGTTAGAATGCAATTATGTTGTTACTCATATGGCGGCCTGACCTGTGGTCACACCATTTTGACCATTCAAGAATCCTACTCTCTTCCGTAACATTTTTGGTGGTCTATATTATCTAGTTGTTACTCATCTAGTTATACAATATGTTGTTAATCAAGTGTCTCGGACTATACACAAGTTGAGAGAACAAAATTATCATGCCTTAAATGGAGAGTACATGAATTGTGCTCTGAGCAACCCCTTGGCATCGTTGATCAACTTGCAGAGAGATAGTAAGAAACAATATTATTATTTACTGATTTTCCTTATTGTATTACTTCTAGAATTGTTTTTTATTATGATTAGGATTCTCTTGTGTTCTCTATATATAGGAATTGAACTTTCATTATTCAATAAGACTAATTATTATCTAATTGTATCAAGTCGAAAAAAAAGGTTCTATAATTTGTTTTTGTTTATCCCCAAAAAAATTCTACTTCTTGTTTATGAATTTCTTTTGTGAATTGGGACTTAATATTTCTGTATTTTGCACCACTTCATAACTTTACTTTTGTTAATAAACATGATGATTCTGTTGTGCACTTTTTTGAATAACAGAGAAAACAAAAAAAAAGTCAATGAATATTCAAAATGTATGATAAACACTATTATTCTAAATAGAGAGTAAAAGTTATGAAACATCTCTGAATAAGAGTAAAAAATACTCCCTTCATCCCAAAACAAATTACAAATTTTTTTCTCTCCTCTTGATAACTTTTGTTTATTTGTATGTTTTCATTGAATGTTTGATAAAATAAAATATTCTTGTTTGTTGTCACTTCTCGTTTTGTAGAACTTTTGACGTAGTTTTTTAATATGTAAACTTTGTTTCTTATTTATGTACCAATTTATGAATAAAATGATTTTAAAAGATGAGAAATTTTGTCTCGTAACTCTAAATTTGTAATCAAATTAGGGACGGAGCTGAGGAAGTATGAATATATCAAAATTAGAGTTTTAGGTCTTTTAAAATCAAAATAGGAGTTCAAGCTCTCATTGTTAAACTAAACATCATGGCCACACTCACCGCAGTATCATATATAGCTACATTGTCATTCGTCGTCACCGGTTATGGTCGGAGCACTGCTATTATTGTTTCATTGTCACTACCACACTCGTACTTCCATATTACACAATCGTTAATCTTTTTTCATGCTATTGTCACTCTTCTAACACGCTGTTATTACATTCCTATTTAAGGGATTAAACCAAGTGAACTCCATTTTGATATTCCAAGAAGATTCTTTTATAAAAATTCATAATTCATGTAGAGTGCACCAAACAAGGCGAACTCGGTAGAGCCTAGCTAGCATGGGCGGGGGAATAGGGAGTAAAAATGACACTCAAACTAATCCTTGTTTCTTTGTTTTGTGTGTATTTCTAAATTTTTGTTTTTTGTTTTTAATGTTTTGATTTTTCACTGTAATATAAATTGACTCTCAAACTACAGACATACACACGGAGTATTATTATCATTATTTCAAAAGCAAAAAAACAAAACAAGAATCTGAAAATATATTTAGGTTGAGATATGTGAGGTGTATGGTGTGGGGGCAAGATCAAACCGCACCAGGGGCTGCCCCTCCATCGCCACCTTCCATTAGGACACCACCACTCGCGCGTACCCACACACCGCACGTACGCACACGACACACTTTCCTAAGTCCTAACTACTCTCATGCACTATTGCAAGTTTGAATGTTATCGTTTTAGATGAGAACATTATATCTCTAGATAAGTTTTAAAAACGCTAATACTAAACGTTAGTGTTAGATAATTTTTTTTAAAATACTAATGCATAAAATTTACTACATTATTCTTTCACTGCATTTTTAAATAATACTCCGTACTAACATTTGACGTATTACATTGATATCACTGACCACACGTATTTTTACATCTTACAGTTATTATACTTCTATTTTGATCTCAAAAGATTTAAAATTCATATTTTGGTATTTTTGAAATTTTTACTCCTATCACGGGAGATTTCTTAAAAGGGAATGACTTTTTAGAAAATCATTTTTTAAATAATGGGTTTTTAGAAAAAAAAATGGCGGAATAATCATTTTCCCCAAGCTAGAATATCTCTTATGTGGCCCAAATAGTTTCTCTCTCTCATCAAATTCTAAGCACTTTGTTTTTCTTTTTAACACTTACGGAGTATTTAGAGCTTGTTTGGAAGTGATTAACTTCTGGATAAAGTGATTTTCACAAAAGCTGAAAGCAAAAGCACTTCATACTTGCTTCTCCAAAACGGTGTTCTGTGTATAAAATAGTGGTGGTGAAAAGCAGAAGCTGACATGCCAAACAGAATAAAATCACTTCCACTCAAATCAGAAGCTAAATTACTAAAAGCAGCGCACTGCCAAACACCCTCTTAAACTCGTACAAAGAAATGAGGTAGAGAATAGAGATAGAGGGAGTTTACTTTTTTATAAACCTCTCATGATTTGTTGAAAAGGATATGGAATAATTTAGGCTTTCTTCTTTTCAGTTGAAATTTTAAAGTTGAATGTTAAAAGAAATTTGAAAAAGTTGAAAGAAATGCGATGGAGTTGGAATAAACTGGAAGAGGTTGGAAAAAATTGGAAAGAGTTCAGAACTGTTAGAAAAAACAAGGTGTTAAAATATCACTCAATTAAATGTTCACTATAATAAACATGTAAGAAAACTAATTTTGGATATCTAAAAGAATTTATCTTTATCCGCATTTGAGATATTATGTTATAAATTTAGATATGTAATGTTAATGTATAGTCATCATATGTAAATACAATTTTTTTAGTTGTTGGAAAAACTGGAAGAAGTTGGAAAAACATGAACACATTGGAAAAAGTAGAAAGAATTTGAACAAACTCGAAAGAGTTGGATAAAGTTGGAAGTTAGTTTTTCCAACTGAAAAAAATAGAGCCTAAGTAGGAAAATTGTAATATTACACCAACAAAAATGAAACCACATCATGACACCAATGTAATTGCGGCACCTACAGTGCTTCGTTCATAAAATTAACAGTTCATAACCCCTAACACTCCTAAACCCCCACAACATTTTCACCTTCACCTTGTTCCCCCACCCTAGATCATCGATTTGATAGATTTATCAAATCTTCCAAATCGACGAACTTGGGTGGGGTTGGAGTGAAATTGCTATGGGAGGTTTGACATTGAATCGTTAGTTTTTTAAATGGAGCACCGTAAATGTCTCATTTAAACTGTTCTTACAAAGTTATACCACTAGAAGTGTTGTACCATTACAAGCTCACAATTAAGTATACATATATTTGGGTCCAAAAAACTCCTAAAAGATTGCCTATACAAAACTTGATGTGTATAATACTAAAACCACTGCTACAAAAAGTAACAAATCAACTACCCCATTTGCATCGGTTTCATAAAAATTGATGCAAATGATGTTTGATTTTTTGCCAACCGCTTTCTTTTAAATCGGTTATTAGGAATAACTAATTCAAAAAGTTTTTGAATCGGTTATTTCAAATAACCGATTTAAAAAATATATATCATTTGCATCGGTTATTTGGAATAACTGATTGAATAGACTAGTGGAACCGTGTATTCCTAATAACTAATTCAAAAGGTTGCGTTAAAAATAGCCACTCACGCGATCTATTCTCATTTCTTCTCTCCTTCTTCCGCTTTTGTCGTATCTCGAGCCACCGTCGCCACCTAGGGTTCGCCATCGCTGTCGCCACCTTCTTTGTGGCCATTGCCGCCTCTCCTTCGCCATCGCCACCTCTCCTTCGCCGTCGCCGCCTCTCATTCGTCGTCGCCCGCTCCTCTCCTTCTCTGTCGCCATCGCTGCCTCCTCTCCATCGGTGCCTCCACTCCTATCCGAAGTTTTTTTTCTTTTTCTTTATATAAAAGCATAATTTTTTTCAATTACTTTTGTGTTTAACATATGTGCATTATTATCCTCAAAAAAATTGTGCATTCTTGTTATGTTTTTTTTCAACAAAAAATTATTTTTGTATTTAATTTTTGTAATTATTTTTTTCTATCAAATCTGGTTTCACTTTATAGATACATTCTTATAAAATATGATTTTATAATAATTGTTTTTAATTGATTTCACTTTTTCAATTTTATAATATGTGCATTTATGTTTCTTTATTAAAAAATAGTGCATTATTATAAAATTTGTGTTGTCTTCTTAACATAATATTATTTTAAAGTATATTAGAATATCTCAAATATTTAAATAGCTTCCAGTTTGAAGCTGTTCTTCAAATGCTTCTCTCATTTAAATAGTGAATGTATTTATTTTTTTTGTTCTATCATTTTTGTGGTTTGACGCTTCCAAAATGCGTTATTCGGGTGCATATGTAACTACATTACATCATGCTCTTGGTGAACGATTGAGAAATGCTGCCGAAATTTTGATAGATCAAAGAAAATGAAATACATTTACTAGTGCGGGTGGCGTTTTAAGAATGGGTTAGAATGGAGTAAAAAAGGACCATTTGTATAATGAAGAAATGGTGTCACATTTTTGTTACATCATAAGAAATAAATTAAATATTTTGTTTCCTGCATTTGTTATGTATGTGTCTATATGTGAAATGGGTGTTAATTTTGTTGAGCATTGTTTTGTATCCAATCCTTTGCCGTTGTTTATCTATTGCGCGCCTAGCAAATCATATGATGGATCGAAATTGGATTGATATGCTGCATACTGATAAGAACAAGGATACTGAAGGGGACGGGCTTCGAGTATCGTCAAACTCCCAAGAAGAAGAAAAAGAATTTTAGGGTTAATTTCTCATGTATTGATTAATAGAGAGTACATCTCTATTTATAGAGTAGAGAAACCCTAATCCTACGTTAACTAGGTTTTCTATCCTGACGGTTCAAGAAAAGCGACGAGGTAAAGAACCGTAAAGAAATCCTAAAGGAGCTTATATTTTGCTCACCTAAAAAAATCTATTACAATTGATAATGAAAAGATACAAAAGTAGCGTCATTTGGTGACGTAATCTTCATGCCACACGGGTGCCCCACGCACCCTTTGCTTCCGGCGGCTAGGACCTTCTTCCGACGATGTTGGACTCTTCTCCGTTGCTCCCGCCGTATAATTCTCCCCCTCTTGAAAACACACCTTGTCCTTAAGGTGCAGGGATGGATGAAGATGCTGAAATGTATCATACGGTTCCCACGTAGCGTCATCGAGAGTTCCATCTGAACGCTCCACAAGGCATTCTTGTCGTGGCTTTCCTCATACCAAAACCTGGCGTATGGCATGAATTCACATAGGACGTGAGACCGGCTGCCCTTGCTTGAATTCCTCTGGTAGCGGTTGTTGGCTAACATCCTTCAACTCCCCAAAAAACGGCCGCAATAGTGAGACGTGGATGACCGGGTGAATCCTTGACCCGGCCGGTAACGCCAATCTATAGGCTACCTGCCCCACCCTCTCGAGTACCTGGTACGGTCCGTAGTAATGCCTTGCTAATTTCTGGGACCGGCAACGTGCAACGGAGTGCTTCCGGTAGGGTTGGAGCTTTAGTAGCACAAGATCGCCAACCTCGAATTGTACCTCTCGCCGATGACGATTTGCATACTCAACAATCCGCTGCTGCTCCTCATGCAGATGTTCCTTTAATCTGCAGAATAGTGTGTCCCGTTCTGACAAGAGGCCGTCCACCTCGGCAACCTTACTATTGCCCTCTTTGTAAGGTAGCAGCGAGGGTGGCGGCCGCCCGTATAAGGCCTCAAATGGCGTCATCTTCAAGCCCTGGTGATGGCTGGTGTTTAGGGCGTATTCTACCCACGGAAACAAGGTGGTCCACTTCTCCGGTTTCTCCGGAGTAAATGCCCGGAGGTAGTGTTCCACCCCACAGTTTATTACCTTCGTCTGGCCATTTGTTTGGGGGTGGAAAGCGGTGCTTAGCAGTAAGGTTGTTCCACTGGCCTTGGAGTAAATACATGATCACAGTCCGACGTGATTGTTCTCGGAAATCTGTGCAACTTAACCACTATGTCTACAAAAAGGTGGGTCGTGCGGTGGGCATCAAATCCCGTTTGTAATGCTCCCAGATGCACCACTTTGGTTAGCCGGTCAACGATCACCATAATAACGGTAAAACGCCGCGACGGTGGAAACCCCACGATAAAATCCATACTAATATCTTCCCACACCTGTGTAGGTATCGGTAACGGCTGCAACAACCCCACTGGCGGTTGGGTGGAATACTTCGTGGTTTGGCATACCAGACAGTGTTGTACGTACTCCTTTACTTCGGCTCGCATGTGTGGCCAGTAAAAGCTTTGGGCTAGCCGTAGAAAGGTACGGTGGACCCCCGGGTGCCTGGCAAGGGGGTGTCATGATGCTCCCTAATAAGGGCAGCCCAAAGCTGTGACGTGGCACTCACGCATAGCCTGTGGCGGTAATACAACAGGCCATCTTCCACCTTGTACGGATCCTACAATTCTCCCCGCTGATGGGCTTCGTGCTTTGCGATGAGGTCGGCGTGCGTGTTGTTTTTTTCCTCCGTAGTGCTTCCATGAGGTCGGGGACTGGATGTGACACGGTGAAAAGTTCATGGCTGCCCACGGCGTCCTCATGCACCCGGGAAAGGGCGTCAGCCACTCTATTGGACGCGCCAGTTTTGTACTCTATTCGGAAGCAAAACCCCAACAATTTACGGACATAAAAGTGCTGGTCCGGGGTTTGTATCACCTGTTGTAGGAGTTCGCGGAGGCTCTTTTGATCCGTCCGAATAAGGAACTCACGTCCTAGTAAATATTGCTGCCATTTTTGTACTGCTTCAACAATGGCATAGAGTTCCTTGTGATATGCCGAGGCTGAGAGTCGTTTCGGGCTGCGTTTCTTGCTGCAATAGGCAATGGATTGTTCCTTTTGCAGCAATATGGCACCAACCCCCGTTCCGGATGCATCTGTCTCCACCACAAAGAGGCTCTCGAAATCGGGTAGGTGCAAGACCGGTGCCGTCATCATGGCTGTCTTCAGTCTCTCAAACGCCTCACCCGCTTTGTCATTCCAGATGAAGGCGTCTTTTTTCAGAAGGTCCGTGAGAGGGGCAGCAATCTGGGCATAGTTTTGGACGAACCGGCGATAATACCCCGTGAGCCCTAGGAATCCCCGCAACTGGTTGAGAGTTTTTGGTTTCGGCCATTGCTCCATGACCGAAATCTTGCTAGGATCGGCTTGCAGGACACTGTTAGTCACCACGTGCCCCAAATACTCGATTCCCTGGTTACAGAAGGTGCACTTTGACTCCTTGACGTAGAAGCAATGTTTCTCCAGTAATTTGAAAACCATTCTTAGGTGCTGCTCATGCTCGGTTACCGTGGTCCTGTAGATTAATATGTCGTCGAAGAAAACAATTATGATTTTTCGAAGGTGCGGGGCAAATAGACGGTTCATGCATGCTTGAAACGTGGAGGGCGCATTAGTCAACCCGAAGGGCATGACTAAGAACTCATAGTGCCCCTCGTGTGTGCAGAAGGCCGTCTTATGTATGTCCCTTTCGTGCATCCGGATTTGATAATATCCGGATCGCAAGTCAAATTTGGTGAAGATCGTTGCCCGCCCTAACTCATCAAATAACTCGTCGGCGGTGGGGATCGGAAAATGGTCGGGCACTGTCACGGCATTAAGAGCCCGATAATCCACACAAAACCGGTAGGTTCCGTCCTTTTTCTTCACGAGTAGAATCGGTGATGAGAAGGGGCTGCGGCTCAACCGTATCAGCCCTTGTTCCAACATCTACTTCACCATCTTTTCAATCTCGATTTTCTAGAAGTGTTGGTACTGGTATGGCCGGACGTTCACGGGTGGCGTTCCTGCCTGTAGGAAGATTCTGTGGTCGGCACTTCTGTGCGGTGGCAGCCCCTCTAGCTCCTTAAATATCTTTCGATAGATGTGTACCCATTCCCTTATCTCGGCCAGCATGTCGTGTGGCGTACCTGTCTCGATCCCGCCCGGGCTGCCCTTGGAATCCTGAACGGTCACTTCCATGCTCAGGTCTACCTCATGTTTGGCTTGCAACCTGGAGTTGATGCGTGGATAAAATCTTGGCCGTCGGATTCTCCCCCCAAAGGATGACCGTGCCTCCATCCCATGCAAACTCCATCGTAACCTTGGCGTAGTCGTGGGCTACCCTCCCCAGTAACCGAAGCCACCGTGACTCCTAGAACCACGTCATGCCCATGGATACGGAGGACGTAAAGATCCACGATGAACGTTGTTCCCTGCAAATTCACTTGGACGGCCTTGCTTTGTTGGTCACAGTGAAGCAAATCCCTGTTTCCCACATAGACTCGAAACGGCGGAACCGGTTCGATGGCTAACCCCAGCTTTTCGACGATCTGGTGGTGTATGAAATTGTGGGTGCTATAACAGTCGATGAGGACGTCGACCTGTTACTGTGCAGGCTACAACAGTCGGGGCGTGGTGACCCCAGCCATGCTGTGCAGGCTAGAGATGTCTGCGGTCACTTCCACCTCTTCCTTCTCTGGCTCGACTTCGGTTTCTCGGTTTCTTCCTCCTCGTCATCCCCATTAAGAGGACGAATTGCCCACAACGGTGGCCCCTGACCCACTTCTGATCGCAATTGTAGCATAGGACTTTGGCGTCTTTCTCTAGTTTCTCCGCCCGTGTCAGACGCCGTACCGGAGTGGATGCTGTGGACTCCTTGCTGACTCTGCTCATAGCCGGACCACTTCCTAGCAATAAGGGCTTGCTTGTGGCCAGAGGATTTCCTCCGGTTGGTGGCCGTGCGCTGGTTCTGGAACTCCGCTACATGTTAGGGTTCCAGGAGGCGCTCCTCCCACTTACTGCCTGTACAAACGCATGGTTCTTTGATTCCAACTCCCGGGCTAATGCAAACGATTCCGACAACGTGGTGGGCTTGAGGATGCTAATCTCGTGTTGGATGTGGCCTTTGAGTCCGGCGCAGAATAAGGATTACAACAACGGCTCTGGGACATTAGTTACATGCGTGAGGACCCTTTCAAACATCGTTTGATATTCCATGACTCCTCAAGTTTGCCGTACTTGTGCCAACTGCCCCAAGTAATCGACATAGTGTAGCGGGTCAAAGTGTTGTTTGAATTTCATCACAAAGTCTTCCAAGTCGTAAATCGGCCCATTATTCCGCCTCCAACGGAACCACTCAGCCGCAGGTCCTTCTAGCATCATCGTGAGGCATCAAAGGCGGTCTTCCAAGGGTGTCTCGTAGTACGTGAAGTACTCCTTTGCTGGATATAACCATCGCAAGGGTTCAGGGCCGTCGCTCTTAGGCGGCTCCAGTTTTGGTTTCGGCGTGTTGAAGGTGCCACCTCTGCCAATATTTCCCGCCTGGTCAAACTGTCATCCGTGCCGTCTGATGCGAAGAGATTTTCGATATGTTGTTTGATACTGAAAACCCTCGATCAAAAAGAGATGTAAAAGTGAAATGGGATGGAAGCAATAAAAGTAATGAGTGAGCTTAGTGGTGGAAGTACGGGATGTCGAATCCACGGGGATAACGTGATTGGTTAGGAATCGAGTGCAAAGTGTAACTAAACACCAATATCGAATAGTATAATGTGAATCAAGGCCTAAAAGTAGATAGAAGATGAATGATGCAAGTGAATGGAACTAAACTATTGCAATGAACAACTAAAATGAGATGCAAGTAGAAAAAAGAAAGCAAGCCTAGATTAGGAATTTCAAGCTAACAATCCTATTGTCAAAGGAATAGAGGAAAACGAGAAATCGACTAGAATGCGAGCAAATCACCTCGATTCTCACTTCCGTGAGAATCAAGAAAGAATCCCCTTGATAAGAACCCACTTCCATGGCGCTCGTTTCAAGAGAACTACGAACACATCAAACAAGCTCCTCAAGTATCCTCCACTTCCGTGGTAGGACTTGAGAGTAGAGACACGTAGCTAAGGTTCTAAATCCTGATTCCTCGGTGATTTAGAATCTAATCCGAAATATAAGAATGTCATCGTGGCCAACAACATTATCCTAGCAACAATAAGATCAATCTCCACAAATAACCTAGAGCAATGTCTCATATTTCACACTAATCCATCAACAACAAAACACAAATCAACAATCCATCCCTAACCTAGGCTAGAAAATCTAGCCTAACATGCTAAATCTAAAAAGGTGTATAATGATAAGAGAGAAACACATAAACAAGGCATGAAAGAGATAATGTAAAGTATATGAAAAAATAAGTAGAATAATCTAAAGAGATGAAATTAAAGTAATGGAGCTCCCAAACTAAAATACAAGATGAAGATGAAGATGAAGGAAATAAAACCTAGTCTACAAATGGGGGATCTCCCCTTGACAATTGGAGCTAGGGGAGCATATATAGAGTAGGAAAAATTGGGAGTGAATTGACAAATAAGGGTACAATTAAAAGTAAAATAAGGAATTGAACCAGGGGTATTTTAGGGATTTCGCACCCAAATTGGATCTCTGCAGCTGAGTTACTTCGTGCTAGGCTTGGTCTTTTGCCGATCCAAATAGCGGCGACGGAGAGAATGGCCGAAGTTCGTCCGCGAGAGGAGGAGCTATGCCGGTCTTCGATGGCGTCATCGTTGCTATGCTCCGTCGCCGGCGGTCCTAACTCGAGTGGAAGACTGCGTCTGGACGCCGAAGCCCAGGGACAGAAATCGCCTGGGTCGCTGATTTCTCCGTAGAAAGGAACCGGCAATTGGGAGCAGAATTAGAATAATCAATGAACTTCTGAAAACTACAAATTGGCCCCAATCACATTAAATTGCTTGCAATTCAGCCTCGCACTTGAATTTAAACTCTAAAATCAATCAAATAACACAAATCAGCCCATAATTAAGAATATGACGAATAATACACAATTAGGCTCTAATTAATATTAAGATCTAAGTTAATAAGTCTATCAAAGATAACCAAATATGCACAAAAAAATAGACTTATCAACTCCTCCACACTTAAATCATTAATTGTCCTCAAGCAATCAAGAACTCAAGTCATCAAAATGGGACAAGTGTGCACTCATGTTAATCTATATCAAATGGAAGAGTCAAGCATATGCTAAGAATATGAACTAAGACAACTCAAGAAAGTTTCAGAAACGGTTCTTCACGATGAAAGCTCAGGAGAATCACACGAGCTCACAAGAATACTCTCATTCACTAGTATTTTCACTTAAGGTTTATTACTCACAACCTAACCTCTAAGCAATAATTAAGGGGCCTTTTATTAGATGGAAGAGAAGGATAAGAGATGGATGGTGAAGGGATAAGAAAGGGATGAATGGGTAAGAGATGGATGGAGACATGAGGGGAAAAGAATTGGATGAGTGGGATGGTTAAGGTTATTGTGGGTGTGGGAAAGAAATTCAAAGTGCTAACATGCTATCAAGAGAAGTCAATGTCGGTAAGAAGATGTGACACGTGTTTCAAGAAATCCACCTTAGGAGACCATCATCTATGGCTCATGCGTTTTGGGTGAAACAAGGTACATTCCGGAGCTCGACCCTCCGTTGAGGTATACTCCAAAAATGCAAGCAAAAGCACGTATGTCTCATTACTCAATTGCGCACTTATTCAGTTTATTTTATTTATTTATTTATCCCAAAAAGGGTAAATGTGCATTGCAATACAAGAGTTGATGCTACCAAAGCATACACACATGAGATTGCATATCCATTGGTGTTGTTTAATGGTGCAATACTAGTCCCCCGCCATGGAAATGTGTGCATGATAAGGTAGCACATGAGACAAAGCCAAGATCATCCCTTTGCAATCATATGCCTATCAAGACTCAACTAAAGCAAATAACCAATCAACACGCATCATTAAAGATATTCCCAACCAAGAGCTCTCCATCAAGTAAAATCAACACAAAGAATCTTTCCGGGTAAGAAAATTGGTAATATGGATAAGTGAGGGTAATGGGGGAAATGAGGGAAACGGGGATGGAGTTGTGCCTCAAGGTGTGGGTGTGTGCACAATGTAGCTCTAACACTCATGGGTCAAAATGGTGATTCTCAAGATATTTCACAACACAAAGAAACATCCAAGAAGCAGTCTTCAACGTGTCTAAGCCAATATTCACAAGCATATACGAGATTCACTGTAACGCCCCAAAAATAGGCCTATCAGAGTTAATTAATTTATAATTAATTAATTACTGAGAAGGACCCAAAAATAAGTAAATTCTAAAGTTTGTCAATAAATAATGAAAATTATCAATGTGTAGAGTTTGACTGTCTGACCCCAACGGTTCAATCGGATTTCAATTTGGAGAAAGTTGGAACAAAAAGGGTACCCTAACTGGGACCAAAATTAGTCTCAATCAGGGACTACACACCAAACGGCGCCCTGTTCAATTACGCCGATTCCAAATTCGTCGCTCAATCACGGAAGCTGCAAACTTGTGTCTTCTTCTTCTTCCCTCGGCTATTTAAGAACAACCCAACTCCCTCATTTCATCACCAAAACAACTCATTCTTCCTTCTATATTGTTCCTTGCTGAGAGTAGAATCCAGTGGTGCTGTCATCTTTGTGTGAGGTCGCCGGAGCAGTGAGATAGAGTCGCGAGAAGTTTCACCGGAAAATCTTCAAAACCTCCCTTACGCTTCAAGGTAAGCCCGTAGATATATCTAATGACTAGAATGTTCATATAGGTCGTTTCTACGTTCATAAATGATCATTTGGTTGAATTTTGTGTTTGACATGTTTGAAGAACCAAGAATCATAAACCTTGAATTTGATGTTAAAAATATGTTTTAATAATTCTAATATGATCTATGAACCTTGGAGAACATCTCTATATAGTTTAATTGAAGTTCGGTGACTAAAAATGGTTTTCCCGAAAAATGGACCGAGGTTGAAAACGAATGAATAGTGGCTGAAAATCCACAGAGTGGATCGATCCCCTTCATTGGATCGATCCTCTGGGAGTTTTTCTTCTAGTTGGATCGATCCAGAGGACTGGATCGATTCTCCGAAACTCTGGTCCGAAAATTTGTCTGAAATTGCTATTTTTGAGCTCTAAAATCCTATTTTTGATACCAATTGATTATGATTATTATAAAAATGATTTTTCACAACAAAAATGATGTTTTTAACAAATTAAAACATTATGTGATGCATGACGGTAAGTTCGGGTGTTAACACTCGAGACTAGGCCGCTAATTGTTATTAAATGTTATGTTGAATGATCATTATGATGAACTATTATTGTGGCCAATTATGAATGATTAACCTACT